TGTTCTGACAAAAGAAAAATGATGAAATCAACTTAAAACAGATTTTTCTTATTAATGTTTCTTGGTTGATAAGGGAAATTAAGCAACATGATCAGTATTTAATTGCCGAAACATTGAGAATTCTAGAGCATGTGCCAGAGAGGGAGAGAGAGAGAGAGAGAGAGAGAGAAGAAAGAAAGAAAGAGAAAGAGAGAGAGAGAGAGAGAGAGAAAGAGAGAGAGAGAGAGAGAATGTGTTCCTCAGAGAGAATTAATTTTGCAGAGAGAAAGAGGAAGTTCCTAAGAGTGAAGGAATTTTCAGAAAAAGTCATTTCCTCAGAGAGAAGGAATTCTATAGAGATAATGAGTGAGGGATAATGAGTGAGAGATGGGGGAGAAATTATGATTTAAAGGTAAGTTTAGTGGAGAGTCCATTTAAAACTATTCTTGACATACTTCATTATACATAGTCAACTTAATGATTGGAATTAATTTGAGGTCAAAATATACCGAAATAGCCAATTCTGTTTGAATATGATAGTCCATGATGAAAGATAAACTCCAGATCGATATCTCTGTTCCAACAAATAAGCTTTTGGTATACGGAGTGTGATGGGTAAATTGTCGCCATATAATATATATTTTTGATATCGCGCATGCGCGTTGTTTGTTTCTGATTTTTGTCGACATCACAGTATAGTAGGGTCATTTGGGCATCGTCTGTGAGAAAAAGAGTACCATGACGCAATTCCATCCGCTAGAAATTTGGAAAGAACATACTGTGCTGCTTGGCATTCGCCCTGGAAGCTCCAGTACGAATGTTTCAGAGTGTTTGGATGTCAATCTGAGGACAGTGCAGAGCATTCGGAAAAATTTGGATGAATCTAATGGTGATTACGAAAGTGTTTGGAGTGATTACTAGTGATAGCGACGTTCCTCATCCCATAGGGCCTCAGACACAACACGGAGGTCTAAATCAAGTGCCTTGAGAAGGTAGTGTTGCCCTGGGTCTAGAGGCTGGTTGATGGAAGTACATATGCCTGGCACCAGGACTCTGCACCACGACACACAAGCAGGAAAATCCTGTCATGGGTGTCAGATAATTTCTGTGACCACATGGCTCCTTAACTAACTCCCCAGAATGCAACCCCCTTGGTTATTATATGTGAGGCGCATTTGAGCGAGAGACTAACAAAACTCCTTGTAACACCAAAGATGAACTGAAGGCAAGGATTATTGTAGATTTCACCACCTTAAACAAATTTACTCTTTAGTATTTGAAGATATTTTTGTATAATTTTGCTAAATATATCTGCTAAAATGAGATGTCAGCGTTATTTTCCTTTTTGCGTAATTTAGATGACAATTTATCCATCGCAATGTGTATATCATTAAAAAGATATATATTCATTTTTCAATAGTAATCAGTCAGTGGAAAATAGAATAATAAAGACATTTCTCTTAAGTTTGAAATAAATGGCAATCGGAATGTGCAATATCTGTTGAATGAGGCAGATGTGTAAAATATTCCCAGCCAAGAAATAAAAAATATTTACCTCATCAACCAAAACCATGCAAGATATTATCCTCATGGAATATGACATTTTTCATCAGTTGATATTTTCTGATGTTAAAATCTGGAAGTAACTCATCGTAGAGAATTAAAATGAAATTTATTTTTGCATATTCGGACACTTATAAATTAATTTTTTATCGACCTTTTAATTCTATTTTCAAAAATCAAACCTTTTGTTACTGTTTCATTTTTATTTACCCTATTTTTAAACAAGAAACAACATCCACGAAAATACATAAGAAAATTAAGATTTAAATGATAAATCTATAATATTTGAAATGGAATATTTCGGAAACCTCAGTTATGTTTTGAAATTCTTCACATTACAAAAAGAACTTTAAAAGATCGAATATAAAGTCAGATTCCAAAAAGGAGGAAAAAAAGGACGCTGAAGAATCTAGTTTAAGAAAATTCGGAAAAAGATAAAAGCCGTGAAAGAGGCGAAATACTAGTTAACATCTCAGTACAATACAAAATGATAATTATTAAAATAATTAAAAAACGAAGTGGTTGTAAATGGATTGGAAAGCCCAAATTGCTAAACAAAAATAAATTTGATTTTATAATTGCTGACAAAATTAGTACCATTAAATATTCCATATAGCAAAGTCACTAGAAGAAGTGATTTTCAAAATTTGAAGAAAGAAAATGATTCTCAAAACGAAAACCTTTTTCCGTTCAGAGCGTATTTCAAGGGGAAATCAAGAATACGTTTAAGGCTTTATGGAATAGTCAAAATAACAACACATGAATAGCAGCGTAGGAATTATAATAAATGTAGCAGAAATTATAGAAAACAAACGAAAATTGTAATAGAAAAAGGAAAATACTCAAAGTCATCAAGCCTAACAGATATTAATGGAAATGCAGAATTAAACAAATCAAAAATGCGAAAAGGTAAAACAAGATGAACATTAAAAGAGTAGAAGAATCTACCAGAGAAAAGAAGAGCTTCAAAAATGCTCGGATCATCAGTCCATATCAATAAACAAATGCTGGTATTGAAATACAGAAACAGGAAAGGTACCAAATTTTGAGAAAAATATTAACGATTATAGATGAATACTAGACGAACTAAGATGCGCTGAAAATAAAAATATTAGCAACAACCATACCGGAAGACGGAAAAAATAACAGAATATAACAAACTAGTTGTTGACTATGAAAAGGCATTTGACTCAGTAAAACATTCAAAAGTCATTAAGTCACTACTAGAACAGTTATTAACTAAAATGATATAAAATTTATTCTGGATTTTTATGATAGCAATACTACAATAATTCAATAACACAAAGACATAGATAAAGTTTGGAAAAGGAGTGAAACAAGGGGTTTAAACTTCAATTAAACTATGTACAGTCCTAACAAATACGAAAGTATCATTAAGCATAGAAAGCGGTATTAGAAATTAGCCCTGTGAATTGAAGTTAGGTTCGAAATTCCAAATAGGTTAGCGAGTACGAAGGCAGACACAGGAACAAGACCGCAGGCCAAAACGTAATTAGTATAACAGTTAAAATTAGCATCTGGTCTGAATAGTAAAGCATATAATAAAATAATTTGATAAAGCGGAGGGTATTATAATTAAAAAAGGTATAAAGGAAGAAAAAAGGAACTTATCTCAAAATAATCCAATAGATTTACCTTTAAAATCTTTTGAAATAAGTACTTAGTATTTTATAAGATTTTATATTGCAAACTAAACTAACGCGCGCATACACGCAGACACCTAGACACATACACACAAAAGATGGTCACATATCATGTTGGAAAGAAACATCTGTCGCATTTAAAGATAAAAAAAGACACAAATGCTACAAATGCTTAATTGATATATTCATTCAATATATTTCCGTTCATTATCGATAACATAATCCCATCTATTTGGCAAATAGTTGAATTCTTATGAATTCAATGCAAAGAAAGGCACAATATCACTTTTGGTATATTCACAATAAACTGTTTTCCCTTTAAAAATGATTTGATCTAAAAAGATGATAATCAGATGGAGCCTGCTCAGAAAAGTAAGGAGGATGGGACAAAACTTCAATATTTAGGGCCATAATCTGATATAATAAGAATTAGTGTATAACATTTTATTTCAAATTGCAAGCGAGTCTCAAATATCATCTGGACTGTTGATTCTATTAATGTGTTTCTGAAACATACAGTAGCCAATAGCACGCATCATATATCACTATTAACCTTGCTACTCACATTTCAAAGAAGTCACAGGTCATGTGTTAATGTCAATGATTATTTAATCAGTTTTTCCCCCGTTCAAAACTGGAAATGGGGAAAACATCAAATCATTCAAACCTTTAATCAATATTTGCCAAATGGAAAATAACCAAGAGATACAAATATCATCATCAACATTCATTCGTCTCTCTTTTTCTCAATTCTTCCGTTTTGCACATGCGCATTCATGTGACTTTCTTTTTCATCTTCTGTCCTTTGCTTTAACGCACAGCCAACTTGAGGCTTTTCTTGATGTTCATGATTTATTTCCTATCACATTTCAATTTTCCAATTCATCATTATTTTAAATCTCTTAGTTTCGCCTTATTTTGTTATCGGCTTTCTTTCGATTGATATTTAAATGTTTTTTTTTATCACAATTTCGAATTGTCGCTTTCGCAGAAGGTTTATGTCATTGATGTTCAATTTTTTTTGTTAGTTCTTTCTATTTCTTTATCTTTTCTTCCTCTTCTTTTCTTCCTTTTTCACACTCTCATATTTTTATTATGTATATATTTTGACCTCTAATAACTTTTATTTTAAATTCATCTTCTGTAAAATATTTTTGGCATTGTTCTCGTTTAATGTGCTTTCGCATGCATTTTTGAATATCATCCCCGACATATACATTATTTCGCCGGATGTCTATGGTCAAGCAATGGAGCTTGCATGTTTCGCTTGGTTTTGATAGTGAGTTCGCTTTCCACTGGATGATACATTTTTTGAAATTATGCCTAATATGTTTGAGTAAATATAGCCATTTCCTCTCGATCATAAACAATATTTTTCTTTTTTCCTATCGTTTATATTTGTATTGTTGCTCTCTTTCATTCCTTTTTCATCCTTTCTTTTTTCTCTTCTTTTTTTCTCTCCTCAAAATGTTTATATATTTCTTTTTTTTTATGGTTCGCTCTTTTAATTTATTTTCTTTACTCTTTTACTTTCTTCCCTTTTTCTTTTTCCTTTTTTGGTTTCTTTTTGCACTTATTTATTCTTTATTTTCTTTCCACTTTTATTTATTGTCCCTTTTTTTCCTTCTTTTATTTTCGTTTTCCTTCTTTCTTATCTTTTCTCTTTTCTTTTCTTCTTTCTTTTCTCTTTCCTTTTCTTTTTTCTTTTCTTTTCTCTTTTATTTTTTACCTTTTCTCTTCTAGCCTTTCTTTTCTATTTTCTCCTTTCACATTTCTTTTCTTCTTTCTTTTCTCATGTTTTCCGTTTTCGATGTCCCACCCAATTCCATTTTAACCAATCGCCTTCTTTTTTGTTTCTCTTCTTCCCTTAAACTTCTCTTATTTTTTTATTACTTCTCGTGTCTCTCCTTTACCCAATATCCTTTTTATGTGATCATTCCTCTCATTGTTATACTGTCTTTGTATAAATATTATGCTACTGTTGTATTATATTATTCCTTATAATATTAAACCAAAAATACTTGCAGCCCTTAAAAATAGATTAAGACATTTCTTCAAAGATAGTGTTGGTTATATAAATATAACTGTAAACTAGAAATCTAACTTTAGAATAATTTGCTTTGCTACAATATACGGAGTAAGTCATAACTTGAAATGACTAGACGTTATTACATCGACATTTTTTTTTAAATCCATGAAATATATATTTCTATTTATCTTGCTCTATATACCCCACCAATTGTTCTCACGTATATTTTTATATCTACGTTTTTGTTTACTTTCTCCTTTATTTTTTGCATATGTTATCTATTCCCTTACAGTGGTTCTCAAACGGTGTGGCGTGCCTCATAGGTGTGTCGGAAGAGGAAGCAATTGAGACGGAAAATCGGATAATCAAAGATTTGGAAAAAATATCATATGCCAAAAATAAATATGATTTCAAAATCTAAAATATTATTATGGATTACTTGTAAATGCATGCATGAGTCTCAGTATAAATAGTTATAAATAATTATTGACTGATTTTATCATTGTGATAATTTTGCATTTTATAAAGTATTAAGAATAGAGTAAATAGGGTTTGCAAATTGGAAGAGAGAGTTATCAATGATAATGATTATCAATGATAATGATTATCAATGATAATGATTATCAATGATAATGTTCTGATTTCGGACAGTTATCTCTCTTTAACCGTCTCTCTTTTTTTATTTTTAAATATACTTTTTATGACATAAAATTGGGTGAGGTGCGAGCAAATTTTCATTCTGAAAATGCGGTCCAGTGGAAAAAGTTTGGGGACCACTGCATAATCTAATTTTTCTATTTACACTATCATTTGTGTTTTTACTAAGTTTAGATTACCGGACTTATTCACATTAAACCTTTACAGTAAGGCGATCCTAAGATAAATGTCTGCAAGGATTCATTAATGGTGGCCATAATCTTAAGAACATAAAATATGTAAATGACACAGTGTTGATACAGAAAAGAAATCAAGGGATTTCCTACAGAAGGTAGTAAAGGAAAGCGAGAAAAAAAAGGATTAAAAGTCAATTGCAAGAAGATAAAATCAAAAGGAACAGCCCAAGATATCAACTACGAACTGAAGACACCAAAAATCAAGTGCAAATAGTTAAATATCTAGGAAATATTTTAATAAGGGATGGAAAATGCGATACTGAATTGCAAAAGTTCATTGGAAGAATGAGACATGATATCCAAAAGCTAAAGAAAGGAATAAGAAAGAAGAAAATTCCATTAGGAAAAAAGAAAAAGAGTACTAATATTGGTCTTGGACAATCTGGACAAATGCTAGACAATCTCTTCACAGATAAAGAGACTTAAGGCAACAGAAATAGAGTTATAAAAAGAATATTGTTAGCAGCGACATTTTAGGGAAAATAAAAAAGGACACTTCTACTTACAATCAGAAGGTGACAGTTGAAATTTCTAGGCTACATAATGATGAAAGAGGGCTTGTAATATTTGGCACTCACAGAATATATTGCAAGCAAGGGAGATAGAGGAAAGCAGCGAATAGCCTGTATAACGAGCTTGTGTAAGTAGTTTTTCAAAACAGGGACTAAGACAGGTAGCAAAAAGACAAATCTTGTTTAGAGCTGCAGTGGAAGAAAGCTGTAGAGAGTCATGATCGTTAAAGGGAGAGCACTAAGAAGAAGTATCATTATACCATCGCACCGTGGTCTGTTTTAAAGACAGTCTTTTTGCCTTCTTGGCTTCACATCTTTCTCTACAATTTTTCCAGACTTGATTTCCAATTCTATCGTCATTTTCCATTCCTTCATTTTTTTAAATATTTTACTGAAGATTTTTCCCTAAATACTACATTCATTTTGATTATATCTCTTACCAATATCATCTCTTCAAACGAAAAACGTTTTCTTCTTGAGAAACTTCACTCATTCAATTCACCTTTTCATTTTCACTTCTCTTTTCGGTTGACTGTTCCTCTTTTGTATTAACGTTCCCCATACGGTAAACTATCCTTCAAAAATGTATCAAGCGGTAGAGGAATTAAATAGATTGTCTAAGAAAATGCGAGCAACGAAGAAGTCTTAAGGAAAATATGAACTACAAAGAAAAAATAATTATAATCAGAACGACATAGCTGAAATTTCTGTAACATGATGAGAAAAGCGGGCTTAGAGAACGTAAGACTCACAGGAGAGTGGGAAAATAGCGAGTAACATAATTAACGATTTTGAGTGAGAGGAGAGCAAAACAAAGAAAAAGAGGGATTTAAAGAGTTAAAATTTAGAGCAGCTAAAGATAGGAAGTAGTGGAGAGCTATGATTGTTCACGTCCTGGAAGGTCAAGGCGTATAAAAGGACGATTCTTTGTCCGTCTTTGTCTTCCTTTCTGTTCTCAATTTTCCTATTCTTTTATTTTAGAAAGTTTCTTTATTTTTTTCCCCCTTTTTACCTGTAGTTTCCTTTTTCCATTTAAATCCGGTTTATCTTCTTTACCCCTAAAACACTCTCTCCTCATTCAGAAACAAACCCACATTCTATCTATTTCTTCCTCTTCTTTACAACGTTCCACCTAACCAATATCAGCTCTTTCTCTTTTTGCCTCTTTTACTAAACCCTCCCTGTTCCTCATACTTGCTTTACGCCGCCAACCTAACGTCACGGTCCACTCGGCGTAAATCCTTGCGCCGTGTGCCCAAAATTAAACGGAAATGTCGTTGGGGTCATATTTACAGGCCTCGGCTCATATATGCACCATTAATAAGACGAGCGGTCATCGTTATTTTTATGGAGGAAATCAAGCGATAAATTGAAGCAAGTCGTAATGATCGTGCTAACACACAGCGCTGGTGAGTGGTTTAGCTACCGGTCTTCTCGACGGTTTTCCTGACCGCCTAACTGCTCTTCCCCAGCCTTCTTCCGCTAAGGCTATCACAAACGACAGCCTCATTCACCACTACTACCAACATGACAACTTCTCCTCATTTCACTGCTCTTTGGAAGCCGTTCCTCAGTCACAGCCATCCCATCATGCTACTCTTGGCTAGGTGTGCGTTTTAATATTGGCCCATGATATCTCCGATAATGACATGCACACTACTTAAAATTAAAACCTGTCTTTCCGAGTTGTACTCAGGCAGAACGGACCCTGCCCTTGTCACCATATGGCTCATATTCTGTTACTGCTTTCTTTATCACTCGCAGATATAGTACAGGACGAATAGACGTGAGGTCTGAAGTTTCAGTCAAAGCCAGAGATAATACTGTTTGATGACGTCGAATGGCAACAGCATCGAATTATAATGTCTGTCTGTCTGTCAGTATAATACGATTGGATTTTAAAATTACTATCCGACGACGATTGTGACTTGATGTATTTTATTTTGTTGTTGTTCAAATGAGTTTATTTATAGTATTTTATTTTGTGATTGATTTTACGAATAAAGATCAGGAAATATAAAGAAATTAAATTTGTTAAACAATACCGTGCTAAGGTTTACAGCCATATCGGTTATCTTACGATCATCGAAGTTAAACAACTTTGAGGTTCTCGTATTATAACTGAAGTTAAGAAATGTCGAGCCTGGTCAGTACCTAGATGGGTGACCGCTTGGGAATGTAAGCTTAGATGTGCGTCTGGTGCAATGGATAATGGCTCCGAATTGGGTTCGTTATATTCACTTACGCGTAAATACCCATGGGTTAATTATTAAGACTTGTATCATTAAACAATTATTACCCCCACCAAAAAAAAAAAAAAAAAAAATCTAACAATCTAAAAATATTTTCTGGCTTTAAATAACCTGCAAAGGGTTGATGAGCCGTAGAAAACGAACCAATCAAATACAATCAACATATTTTTGATGAAACTTGAACAAGTCTATGTATAAGGTAACTGTCAAGAAGTTTGGTACAAACAATAAATGAAGCATTCACTTTATGATTTGTGCTCAATAACTGAAATATTTAGCCTTGTACTTCGAGAGTTCACAACCAAATTATTTGAAAAAGAGAATAGTAAAGCTCTTCTCTGTTTCTACCATAATAAATATAATTACGGTGTAAAGCGCATAGTTGAAACATTTAGATACAATTTCGTTTCATGCCTTTTTCATTCCAGCTTGAAATATCCCCTAAAATCTATAGCTTATTCTCAATAATCCAGATTAAACTTTTCTAGAAAGTTAATTTGACTCATTATCACCGAAAAATACTTTAAAAGTTTATCAAATTAAAATTTATTGATAATTATAAGCGTTAATTTTTTTTTAGATCTTCTTTTATAAAATGATAATTAAAAACGTTATAGTTTTTATATTTTCTTCTATGTGCCGTGTCCCTTCAGGACGTTAGCGATCATGGCTCTCCACAATTCTCTGTCCGTTGTACTTCTTAATAAATTTTGTCTTTTTGCTATCTCTCCCAAACTCTGCCATCCATTCACTTAAGCTCGCCAGATAGGTTATGCGTTGTTTTCCTCTGTTCGTTTTACTTTCAATCTGTCCTATGGGTATCAGGTTTTTCAAGCCTTCTTTCCTCCATATGTGCCCTAGAGATTTCAAATGTCTATTCCTGATGTTAACTATAAGTGTCCTTTTTGTTTGCATTGTCTTTAGAATTTCGTCATTGCTCACATGTTCGGTTCATGGTATTTTCTGTAGAACCACATTTCTGTTCGTTCATGTCTTTTCTTCTTCTTCAACATTCACTGCCATATAGGAGGATTGATATTACGTCACAGTTTAGTACGCTTTTGATTTCAGTCATTTGTAAATATCCCTTCACTCTTTATTTTAAAACTGTATTAAACTGCAAACAGCTTCACAGAGTGTGCCTACGTGGTATTTTTTGTGGTGTTGCCATTATCACAATCAGCACTCACATTTCGTTTATACTAAGGTATATGTCAAAAAGAAGGTTATTACTTTTTTAATTGCATATGTTTTATCTACCAAATATATCGCAGCTTTGTGCATTATATCAATTTTTAATTGAAGAAATTGAGTGTTTTGTGAAAATATTACGAGGGCAGCTACTAAAGTTGTACAGTCATATAAACCGGGGAGAAAGAAACTGAAATGAAACAGAGATAGAGAGTTTAGCCAGCACAGTTGGAGACGAATCTCTGACTGCAGACTAACATACAGTATTTACTACTGTATTTATGTGAATGGGGATATATCCATTAGCGTCCATAGGTACCCTACAGCACTTACTGCCGCTCAAAATTTTCAAGTTTCTCATGTCCACTAGCTATTATCACTATTTCTGATATTGATTGAATATTTCCTCCCTAAGCTTTTGTTTAAGGTTGTGTAATCTTGATCATCTCATTATTTGCTCTCCGAGATGTGTGTGCAATCAATTTTAGCTTTTGTCGTTTGGAAGTTTTCAGGTGATGTAGTCTTCGTTATTTGCTAAAATTCTTTGTTTATGAATCTATATACTACTAACGAAGTACAGTCTTCCCTCATACACACGGTGCCCATTTGCTTAAAGCCATTTTCAAGCACTGATCTAAGAAAACGGATGTGTATAGCTGATAGTTTAGCCATCCTGGATATGACGATAAACTACATCTGGCAGCAAAGCCTCTGATTGGGAGTTTGGAGGAGCGTGGGACCACCTCTTAATTGCTGTGTTCCGAGGTTCACCCTGACTCGATGTGGTAGAACCTGTTGGCGTCTCAGCTAATATATATATATATATATATCTAACAAGTATAAAATGATGTACAAAATATAGCGTTGAAGGCATAAAATTGTGTACAAAATATTTAGATTTCAGCATTAAATAATCCATAGAGTTTTATATGCCGTTAAGCAAAAACAACCAACCGATAGTTTAGACATTTCTGAACAAGTAGAACTCCATGCATGGCATCCATATGACTGTCCATACATTCCGTGATGGAGGCGCGATTTTTGTGTAAAATACACCTCATGCGTTTTACGGTTTATTTGAAACATCTTTGTTTTTATGTTTGATAAAAGTGCTAAGTGAATTTTAAATAATTACTGGAGTAAACGTATGAAGATTTTGGGTCTGATAAATCATGTGCACCTGCTATGTGACATAGCAGGTGCACATGATTTATAAGCAGTACTTATCAAAGTGTGCTAGAAGATGCGTCACCTACATTAAATTGCTATCATTGTATTACTTATAATATAATTTTGAATCGCTGTCGCTTATAAAATAGATCAATTGAAAAAATATACATTAAATCTTACACAACTGATTTCCTATTTGCTCCTTATTTGATCAAACATGGATCGACAAATATCCTCTAAAACATGGTAAGTTTGAACGCAAAACTTTCATCTTAAGCGCAGCCGAATTTCCTTTCCGTTTGCAGAGCCATCTTCGACAGTCATCACTAATTCTTTTAAATAAAATATTAGCCCAATGCAAGACACCAGAAATTCTTAAGGTAGAGGGTTATTGAATGATATTGTTGCATAGACGCCAAAAAAAAGCAAGTTTAAATTATGAGGATATCTAGATAGCGGTTGACCTGAAGATATCTGAAAGCATGCCATTCAGGAGTTTGTTCCACAAAATATCAGTTCTCAGAAAGAAGTTGTCTGGGTGCAATTTCCTTCTTACTAATAGAATACGAATACGATAAGGATGATACACCATATCCTGCAAACAGTATATGGTGTGTCATAGATGTAAAGATCTGAACTGCTGGCTCTTAAGAATGTATCTCGTCTGAAATAGCGATAGTCTACGGATATTTCTTCTGATGGGGTTAGGTTGAAAATTCACTACTTTTTGTGCTCTTTCAAGAGTGGAAAGTGAGGATTGTGCAGCTTCAGCCCAGATATGCCATCAATACTTCTTTCCCTATGCGATATTAACAAGCATTTCTCTCAATGCCCTAAAAGATTCGTCATTTAAGATAAATTATTACTGCTATCCATTTTCACATTTTCATGTTACTCCATTTTATCAATCTGAGTGTCAAATTATGCAAAGTCCTATTTTCTTGTCTTGTTTCCCATAGATTTCAACGGTTTCTTTCTGGTTTTAAACCTAAACGTCATTTTAGATTCCATTTTAAAAATTTATCCTTGCTCAAATATTCATATGTAAAACATTACACTCATTTTTCTCCAAGTGTTCATTTTTGTTCTATTTCACTTCCTCTCTCTCTTTTTCTCATTAGTATAGCAAATTTTAAAAACTATTTGTTCTATTTAGGCCCGAATGTGAGTAAAAGCATTTGCCGCTATCCTTTGTCCATGTTTACAAAGTGATTATTTCAAAGGGGGCAGTAATAAATAGATATAATTTTTGTACTGAATTTCACCCAATAAAAGTACCAGGCGCCATTCAAGGTAGAGTTTTTTTAATCATTTCACCCCAAGCAAGGTGATAATGCCACTAAGTTGTAAGGGGTTACGTTAAGAGAAGGAAAAGACTTTAGAAGAAAGCGGAAACCCAATCCTAAACCAGGGATAAACCTTTACTCCTGTTCAAAAGGGTTACTGAATGACGTGGGTGGCATGGACGTTAGAGGAGAAAGTAAGAAGTGAAGATTATGAGGATATGGAGGCTAGATAGCGATAGACCCTAGACTTGAAAAGGTTAAGATTGTAGCTTTCAGGAAAGTTTTCACAACTCCACTTCACAAAGTAGTGGTACTTGAGGAAAAAAAAGTGTCTAAGTGGAACATTCTACTGACAACAGGAATACGGAGGAAATGATGGTGATTCCATGGAGGCAGCATGGTGTGTTCTTTCTGTAATGGTATGAACTGATGGAGCTAAAGAATGGAGGTCATATGAATATTTGCCATAGAAGTTGCCATAGAGCAGCGATAAACGTTGCATCCGCGAGAAAGAGGCTGCAGAGTAGAATATAATATTTTTCCCCACAAGACTCCGTAAACGATTTTAAGTGAGGATTGAACCGCTCCAACCCAGATATGTCAACAATACTCCATGTGATTATTTATATAACATTATTTTTTTCGACTGAACCATATTTAATTGAATCTAGATATTAGCCAACCCACGTATCCATAAAGCTATTGTCA